TTGGATAAGTGCACTGAAGAGGCTGAATGGCTACGCCATTTTCTCGAGGATATTCCAAGTTGGGAGAAGTTTGTCCCTCCAATATGCATACATTGCGATTGTCAAACGGCAATTGGAAGGGCACAGAGCAATCTCTACAATGGTAAGTCTAGACACGTTCGTCGTAGACATAATACCATTAAACAACTCCTCACAACGGGTGTTATCACTGTTGACTACGTGAAGTCAAAGGATAACATAGCCACTTGAGCATTGGGTTGAGAAGGAACAATTTAAAGCTCATTTGAGGTGAGGATCGACATCTAGTTGCTTACAACTTGTAGGTTAAGCATGAGATTACCTAAATGTCTAAATCATATTTTTCATGGATTACAATGACTGCTTATTGATGAAATATTGATATATTATATAAGGAATAAAATTGAAAATGATTTGGAATTATATTGATAAAAATGGAGTTAAATGAACTATTGTGTGAAATAAGCATTTTTACTCATGTGTGAATTGTGTAGATATATAAATGATTGTTTATGTATTACATTGGATGATTAAGTTGCTGCTACATATCTCTAAATATGTAGGGATTTACAAACGAAATATATGATTGATAGGAATAATCTTAATAGTATTGAAATAGTAGTTAATGATTGTTTGTAATTGTTAAGGAATTGAATCTGAGGATTTTATTGTAAGTGATGTACTTGATTGTGATTCAAGTGACTAAATTGATGCAATATGATGCTAAGGTCATGTTATGGGCACTCCTTATGGATGTCCCAAAATAGATTATTGATATTCAATTCTAGGCATAGGTTCGCTTAGGAATTGAGTATATGCCATGACACGGTGATGTACTTGAGTTGGACTCTAGAAGTGCATGGGTAGACATGGGATTGTGATTGATGACATGCATGGTGATGTAGTTGAGTTGGACTCAAGAAATGCATGGGAGACTTGAGGGTGTAGCCTATAATGTACATGGTGATTTATTAGTTGAGTTGGACTCAAGAAATGCACGGTGGAGTAATTAACTTGTGTCATATAATGTGCATGGTGATGTAGTTGAGTTGGGCTCAAGAAATGAAAACATATGTGTTAGGGTTGTACCCTATGAATTGTCGTGACTGGTAGTGGTATTGGGTTGATGTTTTTTTGCAAACAAACCTTGGGCCTACGGGCCGACTACTTGACTTTATATACAAAGTAAGTATATTTTAAAAAGGGGTAACTCAGGTTTACGGCCTAGATTATATTATCACCCTATTTGAAGGTCTTGTGTTTGAAATACTTATTGTATATCTATTAGATGCCATCCACACCAGCACTTTATAGCCCTATAGAGTGTTGACCCCTTCAGGGGCGTCCCACCACCATTTCAGGTTGAGACTAGAGCTTGCTTCCTGTGCTCGTTGCTCGAGTGATCATCTTGGAGAGAAGACTTGGTTCGTGCTTCCTCCATTCGGTTTTTGAACATTAATAAACATGCTCATGGATATTTTCACTATAGAGCCTGCGTGCTCATGTTTGCCCCGTGTGGCATTTGTTTTTAAACTATGTTTTCCTCTGCGTATTGAATTGCTTATTATGTATGTTTATGGATGACTTATGAGTGAATGATATTCGAGATGCTTTATTCCATCATATATATATATACACACACACAGTAATCTTTCAGTCAGGCCTTCTGACCGGAAGCGCCGTCCGGCCGATGGCTTTTGGGGATCTTCCCGGTGGATTTTTTTTTATGAAACTTTTATGTCATGTTCTTCATCAAGTCTAGTTCATCCATATCAAATTTGAGCAAAAAATTCAACCAGGAATGTTGTCAAATGATTTTTGAAAGATAACTGTGCCGGAATATACATATAAAACATAATTATCTTTCCACCGGGAAGGGCCCCAAATGCCGTCGGCCGGACGACGATTCTGGTCAGAAAGGCCTGACATGAATCTCTCTCTCTATATATATATATATGTGTGTGTGTGTGTGTGTGTGTGTGTGCGTGCGTGCGTGCGTGAGAGAGAGAGAGAGAGAGAGAGAGAGAGAATGTTCAAATAAAAAGGAGTATTAACATGTAAAATAAGAATTAATCTCAACCGTCCAAACTGTGTCGATATGATGCACAATAACCTTTATCTAATACACGGTTTGATTTAACCTTTTGTGATGCACTTTTCCAACATCTATACACGAAGCATCAGAAAAGGTTATTGTGAATCAGATTGACACTTTGGACGACTGAAATTAATTCTAGTTTTATACGTTAAAGTTTTTTTATTTGATTCAAACCCTCTCTTCCTCTCTACACAGACGCACTCAAATGTTTGGTGCAATTTTCCTTACTAATGGCAAGCCACTAGTTAATTCTTCATATTGTTGTTTATAGATTGAATTTTAATGCTTTTGTACTAATGTTGTTGTTGGAACGTGATATGCCATCAACTATTATTATTATTTTGTTGATGACTACACATTCATGATAAGAATGAAGGGACTTTTAATTTGAATATATTAAATCTTTTCTTACAAAGGAAAATCATTTAATACTTGAGAAATTTACCGTGTGTATGACAAAAAGACTTGATTTTCCCATTATATGACTAGACAATTATCTTTCTTATTATAATGTTAAATGTCATGCATAGTAATAGGTTATACGTTCTGTTTTCTTTTCTTGTCCCATAACAACTCGTACGTTTTATCACTTTCTCATTACTAGTCATATATTGGGGTTTAATGCATCAAACTCCCTCGTGATATAGAAATTCAGCGCATTAACCCCTTGTGATTTAAAAAATACGTCAAACCCCCTTGTGTTTTAATTAATCATGCACATAATCCTTTTTATGAATAAATTTAACGATTTGAAAATCACTTTTCCTAATATTCTGATTGAATATGCAAGTAAATATGTCAAAATCTTTAAATCATACTAAAATGTTAATCATCTTTCTTTTATTTGACAATTGAATTTGTCAATAGAAGGAGTTTTCTGTATAATTAATTAAAACACAAGGAGTTTGACGCATTTTTTAAATCACAATGGACTAATGCGCCAAATTTCCATATCACGTGGGGTTTGGTGCATTGAACCTCATATATTGGGAACCTTTCCATGTTTTTGTCATACTACTTTCCATGAAGAAGACTTTAAATGATTTGTTTTTCTGAATCAAGTATTCAGGCTCCGTTTAAGAAAAAGGACATTGGTAAGATATCAATGATTTTTTATTGTATCACAATTGATTCCTATACTTTGAAAAAGTAAAGTACATATATTATTATTCATATAGATAAAATTTTATTTATTGACAAATTTTATCTTAAAAAAAGGAAAAAGTCAAATACATCATCCTATTATTTCCGATGTATTACTTAAAAGTATCATGTAAATATGCTTATTTGACGAACACAATAAATCAAGTCATTTTAATCCCCTGTAACAAGTTATTTTAAAAAAGCCAATTAAAACTATTGATCAATCTTATAAAGGTTGGTGTAAATTTGAAATTAATGTAATAATAGTATATAAGTTCAAAAACAGATAAACAATTTTAACACATTAAGATAAAAACAAATTATAAAAATGAAAAAATAAAGTCAAAGTGTAAAAAATATTAAATTAAAATGTAATAACTTTTAAAGAATGTAGATCATCCATAAAAAACAAAAAAGATTTAGATCATACAAACTATTCAAAAAATGTAAAGATATAGACTTTGATATTGTAAATTGAGCACACTTTTTCTTTATACATCTTCAAATTTTAACAAATATTTGAAGTTTTAGTATAAAAAACTTAATATTACAAGCCAAAAAACCGGTTAAAAATCCAGATTGATCATTTTTATAAAGCCGTTCTTATATGATACATTATATTTTTAGTTTGGAGGTTGAAGTGATGGATTATAAATGCTAGAATTTGTTTAACTTTTTTTCATTATTTTTTTATTGGTCACATATTTCTTTTTAAATGTTTTTATCATTTGTCCAACTTTTGCTTTTGTAGTGAGTTTTTAAATAAAATACATCCATATCCTCTTTCTTATTGCACCTATATTTCTTTTATAAACTAGTTTTTCTTTCTTATTCTCCATTACTTTTCTACTTGTTTTAATCCGTATGAAATTATTGAAACTGAAAGTATTTATCTATTTGCATAACGGCCATTAGCCCTAAACATGACTAATAATAGTAGTCTTAAATGCAACATTAATACTATAATATTTTTATTGTCAAAATAGGAGTGAAATGTATGCCTTCTTCCTGTTCTACCATCTTCCTCTAAATCCTAATAGTTTTCTAGTAATAAGAAATTCTTGGTTTTATTTATAATAAAAATATAAAAATAATAAAAAATATTTATAAATTTATAATAAAACCGAAAAAATAAAATAAAATAAACTTTAAAAATAATAATGATAAATAAATATTTTAAAAACTTAAAAAAGTCTTAGAAATAAAATAAATGCCTACACAATTATTTAAAAAATATGTAGACTAGTGCCATTGTATCCTCCACATCCTAGCACCACTATATCCGATCGTCGGGGAAAAATATCTATCTTGTGTAAAAATTGTTACTTTTTTATGAAAATGCGATGAAAATCACATTAGTTATCTTTGAATTTATTCATCTTTATTTTTAAAATTGTCACCATGATGATTTTTTTCAATCTGGCATTCTTTTCCGCCGAACGGAAGTGACGGTGGATGAAGGTGGCTGATGTCTTCATATTTTTTTATTTATATTTTACGTTTTTTATTTTTTTATTTTAATTTTTTTATGTTTTATTATTGTTATTATTTTAAAAATTGTACTAGAATGATAATGGAAAAAGTATAGGCTGTATAGTAGAAAGAGTTAGTTCTATTTTGAGAATTTAAACTTCCAATTTTGCTTTCATTTAATCTTATTTATAGAAATTCCCTTTTCATCATAACTTTATTATACTACTAATGAATTTGACCTTTATGAAGTTTTCATCCATCCATCCAATTTCAAGAATCAATTAGGCTGCTAAAATATAAAGTGGGTAAAATAACAGGGTTTAGACGAGCCATTGCAGGTAACAACACAAGCAACCCTAGAAAGTCTCGGAATCAATTGCCGCATCACGATCCTACGCAGATCCGAGCATCAGACTACCGCGCACTTCATAGCTGCTGTCTCGCCTCCTGCCTCCACCATTCATCTCCAGTCCACTGAAGAAAATAGCCGCCAAAGTCAAATTTGTTGTTGCTGGCAGCTCAAACAATCGTGACCCGATTGCCTACTTCTCCCAAATCACAACCCGACGCCTGTACTTCGTCTGGTGAGGTCTGACGAAAAAAAGAACTCTACTCCAAACGAACGGAGCCGTCTCCGTCGTATCCCGGCCGTGTCCGAGGGCTTTGACCTCGTATCCGGTCAACTAGGTTCGCCGCACCTGTGCTTCATAGGTAAGCATCGTCCGATTCTTATTGGTTTTGAGTCAGCTATCATCTTTTGATTCTGATGTTGTATATGGATGAGACGATTATTAATATTAATTTCATATGTTAATTGCAACTACTGTGCTTATGCTCTAATTGATAATGGTTTTGGCAGCTTCTTTGAGTAGCAGCATGGCCACGGCCGAGGCTGCAACATCTTCTACTGGACCCCGTTATGCACCAGATGATCCAACTTTACCCCTACCTTGGAAGGGTTTAATTGATGGTAGTACTGGATTGCTGTACTATTGGAATCCTGAAACTAATGTTACACAGTATGAGAAGCCATCAGCCTTGCCTCCCCCGCTGCCACTTGGTCAACCTCCTAAACTTGCTCCTCTACCGGGCGCGAATGCTGCTCAACCAAGTGATGGTCCAGGCCAGCATCAAAGCCTTCATGTAGGTCAAAGCTTGCAACAAGTTTCAACTGGACAGCAGCAGGGATCACATGTGAATTCTTCCATGCAACAGCAGATGCACCACAATAGGCCCCATGGGACCCAACAGGCAAGTCACCAAATGCCTACACAACAACCAGGGACTCCCATTTCTCAACCGATGTTGCAGCACATTCCACAGCAAATGCAGCCATTCCAAGGAATGCAGACAGGAAAACCTCCAGATTTTCAATTTACTCACCACCCAACACCACACGGTTTGTATACTCATCAGAACATGAATCCCCAAGCCCAAAATGTTTCTGATCAACAGAAGCATCATATGATGCAAGGAAAACAGTTTCCCCACCAACAAGAGCATAATGTAGAATTCCGTCCTAGAGAGGATGTAAATTTTTCCCAAGGCAATCAAATTGGCTTCTCACCTATGAACGCCTTTCAGCCAGCACCTGCCCAGACCTCAGCTCCTGGAGCTAACCCCTCTCTAGGCCCTCAAATGGCTGCACAACCCGCTCAACCAATGCAGTTCAGTGGCCCTTCTGCTAGTATGCAGCAGGCAGCATCTCAAACTCACTGGATGCACAGCGGGCCAGATTCACTGCACCACCAACATACTTCCAGGTTCCAAAGCCAGATGGGTCCATCACATGGTCAACTGCCTCCACTTGGATCAAATACAGGATATGAAGAAAACTCGCACGGAAGAGTAGGAAATAAGTTTTATGATAATAATACTGTCAAGGACGTCCATGCCATGCCTTCTCAGGCTTCACATCCCATGCTTGCGTCAATACCACATACAATATCTCAGCATGTAAGTTTTCTGTTTTCACTCCAATGGAGGTTCTACCTCCAATTTGAGAATTCTTCCCCTCATCAGATATCCACATATACCGGACTTCAGTTGGTTTCTGTTTTTTTGTTTGTTTATTACTTTTTTGAGTGAGTTATTGGTCAACTATGTGGTCTAATTTTCTTGTAATTAAGTTTATTTATCAACAATCACATGCCCTCATTTCTTACTTTGTTCCTATGAACAAAACTATGAGATTGATGTTTGTTTTGTTGTTTATTATTATTCTCATGCTTATTAGGAAATGAGGACCGTTGATCTAACAACACAGAATCCAGCACCTGGTTTTCATGGTGCATATAATGGTTCTGGAGGTCCAGCAATGCATAATATGTATGGTCAAGCAACCGGTGGCGGTGGCCCCCAGTTTCCAACTCATGTCCAAATGCGTCCCCCTGCAGCAGCTATTGGACCTTCTGATGCTGAGGATTACCGTAAAAAACATGAAATCACGACAATGGTTTGTATTCTCTATTTTTGTTAATGCTTTTTGTCATTGATGGAGCTGGGATGGATGACGGGTATTACACAAGGTTTGAAATTGAGTAGTGCGTAATCCTGGCGTTTTTTAAAATTGCACACTGCATAAGTCTCATTGCGCAATGAGGCCCATGCCCGAGGTGTAATACACACACACATGTCTGTATATAAACACTAAAGAGTAAAATAACATATTCATCGAAAGTCATGAAATGTTATATTAAAATAAATTTTAATGTGGCCATAATCGTAGCAAAGTAATAAGGTCAAAGTACTACATAATACTGATAATAGTATACATTTCAGAACTCTTCATCATAACAAAATCAAATTTGTCACTATATAGTGGTTTGAAATTATGGATCATGAATGCTGAATATATTAATTCTAAGAATAAAAAGTGGGCCGATTAGGCCCAAATAATACCCTTACACCCTGACCTCCTCTATTGCGTACACCTCTCAGCGCCTTATTGTGTATGTATTATTCCGCACGGCCCATTGCAATATTGTTTATGCCACATTCCCAGCGCCATAGGCAATTCCTTTTACGCCATATTCCAAGAATTAGCTGAGGCCCTCCATGGGGGTGCAATTGCATTGCACAATTACAAACAATGAGTGGAATTTGTTGTGATTTCGTTTGCGATCTCAGTGAATATCACGATTTTCTACATGTTTTGATCTAGCTCTGTTGTGTGATTTCAAAGCTATAACCGGTAGTGATTAGTGTACTTCAAATCATTTTCCTTTGTCTTGTTTAATTTTAAAAGCTGTAACAGGTAGTGATTAGCGTGTTTAAAGTCACAGTCCTTTATGTTTTGCAGTTGGATTTGATCTTTCTTTGAATTCAGTTAATTTTTAGAATTGATATTGATATGCTACAATTCCACTGTCTAGGGAGAAAATGTTCCGGATCCTTTCATCACATTTGAAGCTACTGGCTTTCCTCCAGAAATACTTAGAGATGTAAGTGTACTATTCTCAACGTAAGATCTACAGAGACTTACCGCACCTGAGTGGTTCTTTTTGAATCTGTGTAATATTTATCTTTATGAGATTGCATCAAGCTTAACAGTTGTCACTTGTCGCAGGTGCGATATCTGCTCCGGAGGAGGAGCACATGTCGTACGCTGTATTGCTTGAAATGCTCATACACTTCCACAACCAGTATATTGAGTTTTTGAGGCTGCAAATTGGATAGTTGGAGCCTCTTGCGTAGCTTCTTGAAGGGTAGTTGGCCCTTCATCCAAAAAAACAAAATATGTGACTGGGATTTCTAGCTTATTGGCCCTGCATCTTCTGTTTTAATTGCTCTTATTTGTTGCCTTGATGAGTTGCTTCTGTAAGCAACTGTATTCCTTCCAGTTTAATTTAGGATCCTTGTCCATTTTACAATATTAGTTATTTAATTACTTAATTTGTTTGTTTTCAATATTTGGTCCATTATTTTAACTCAATCTTGTATTTCTAATATTACACATATTCTTCCTTGAATGCTCTCCCCATCAGGTCTTCATTGATACTAATTATATGTAATTTTCCTGCAGATTCATATTGCTGGATTCGCATCGCCTACACCAATTCAAGCACAAACATGGCCCATTTCACTACAAAACCGGGATATTGTGGCAGTTGCCAAAACAGGGTCGGGCAAAACACTGGGATATCTTATTCCTGCATTTATCCAGCTTTCGCGAAGGCGTAACAATCCTCAGAATGGACCAACTGTATTGGTCTTAGCTCCAACACGTGAGCTAGCTACACAAATCCAAGATGAAGCACTAAAATTTGGACGGTCATCAAGGGTTTCTTGCACAGTAAGTAACTAAGTGTATTTATTGATTAGCCATTGTGTACTATTGTTATTGGGCATTGAACTATAGATGCATTGTTGCTGTTTCAGTGCTTGTATGGTGGTGCTCAAAAGGGTCCCCAGCTAAAAGAACTAGAACGAGGAGCAGACATCGTTGTGGCAACACCTGGCAGGCTCAATGATATACTTGAGATGAAGAGGATTGATTTTCGGCAGGTTTCCCTTCTGATTCTTGATGAGGCTGATCGAATGCTTGACATGGGGTTTGAGCCTCAGATTCGAAAGATTGTGAATTTAATACCTCCTAGTAGACAAACACTTATGTACACAGCAACCTGGCCTAAGGAGGTCCGAGCGATAGCTAATGATCTTCTTCGAGAACCTGTCCAAGTGAACATTGGCAGTGTCAATGAGCTTGAAGCCAACAAGTCCATCACCCAGGTGAATCAAGTTACTTTGATCCTGGGAATTAAATTAAAATAGGATAATGTTGCTAACACTAGCCACACGAAGCATGTTTTTAGGATGGCAAAGTTGCCCATGCTAATGGGTATTCCATTTAGGGAAAAAATATTTGACTATTCCAAATTTTCACTTAGCCAAGTAAATCTTGTCAGCGTACCTAAATACTTTTTTTTTGTTTTCTTTGGAAAATGGCTATAACTCGTACTGATGGTTATGCTTAGGGTATGGGGCTTAGTAAAATTATGTAGCGTTTCCCTGCTTTTCTTTTAACCTTATTTTTTTCACTCTCATTTCTCTCCTGTCTTTTTATGATGTTGGTAGCTCAACTTTCTTTTATTGTTTTGCTCAATTTAAGTTTCTATTGAACTACTCATGGAGCATTGTCGACTGGTTTTGTGCATGTTAGTCAAAATTGTGATCCAGGGGCCAGGTCACTGGGTACTAGGATTGCCTGATTTTATGTTCCTATGTAGCTGCTGTGACTCAGATTGTCCAATAGATTGTTAAAATAGTAAGGCTTGCTTGGGTAAAAGCAAAAAAGTCGTAGTAGTAGGCAAAATGGTTGTAGTAGTCATGACAGAAGCACTTCTCAATGGCTATCCTGGTTTTGTAAATGGCGCTTTTAAGTATCAAACATCTTGGAATAAAATATTGCAAATCCAAAAAACCGTAAACAAGCTGAAGTGGGAGAGTTTGATGTTGGTAATGTGAGAAAAGTCTCAAGTTGGAAGTTCTCTAGGAGGCTTTTATATTATGTTTCAACTTTAAACATGTTACTTCAGATTACCTTGTTTAATGAATTATATATATATATATTAATGTATGATTAAATATATTATATATTTCTGTTATATATATGTAGATGTGTAGGATTTTACGATCTGTCTTACCATCTTGTGAATTACGGTTTTATTTTCTCTACACAATCCTACATGCGATCTCGAGTTTGACTGCCTTGGGTTAATGCTAAAGTTAGTTAGTTTCCAGCTTTATCATATGCAAGTCCAGCATTATATGTTAATGAAAATAAATTCATACCCTTCTGTACGCTCCTCTCTTTAGTGCTATGATATTATCAAAGCAACGGGGTAAATGATTTTCTCCAGCAAAAATCACTAATGCCAATCACTTGTACAGTATGTTGAGATAGTTCCACAAGCAGAGAAGCAGAGACGGGTTGAGCAGATTCTTCTATCCCAAGAACGAGGCTCTAAAATTATAATATTCTGCTCCACAAAAAGATTGTGTGACCAGCTTGCACGAAGCATTGGGCGTAGTTTTGGTGCTATTGCCATTCATGGTGATAAGTCTCAGACTGAGAGGGATTGGGCCCTCAATCAATTTAAATCTGGGAAGACCCCAATTCTGGTAGCAACTGATGTTGCTGCTAGGGGTCTTGATGTACGTGATGTAAGGTGAGGATTTTGTTTATTAACTATGATACCGGTGTAAATTATTAGCGGTAATTTTGCCATTTGTTATTTACATCTGTGTGTAAATGTGCAACTTGTCGATAAATACCCTTTTCTTCTTTAAAGGCTCCAGCGCATCTTTTTACTAATAATATTTGTTGAGTGTTTTTGCAGGGTAGTAATCAATTATGATTTTCCAACTGGGGTTGAGGATTATGTACACCGAATCGGGAGAACCGGAAGGGCAGGGGCAACAGGCGTTGCATATACTTTTTTTTCAGATCAAGACTGGAAATATGCAGCTGATCTCGTGAAAGTCCTGGAGGGTGCCAACCAGCAGGTGCCTCCACAAATCAGAGAGATTGCCCGACGTGGCCCACCTAGCTTTGTCAAGGATCGAGCTGAGATGAACCGTTCTGATCCAGGTATGGATAATGGCGGTGTCCGTTCGCGCTGGGATTCTGGTGGTCGAGGAGGAATGAGAGATGGTGGTTTCGGGGGAAGAGGGATGGGAAGGGATGTTGGTTTTGGCGGCCGTGGCGGAGGAAGGGATGGTGGTTTTGGTGGTGGTGGAGGAAGGGACGGTGGTGGGTACGGGGGATTCGGTGGGAGGGAAGGTGGTTTTATGGGCCGTGGTGGGAGAGATGGTGGTTTTGGTGGGGGTCGTGGGGGGATGAGGGATGGTCATTTCGGCGGCCGTGGTGGGCGAGTTTCTCCTGGGGCTAATAATGCAGGTTGGGAAAGGAACGATCGTGGGGGCCCGCGTGACCGGTTCAACAGTTTTGATTCAAGGGGAGGACGCGGTAGCCGAGGCCGTGGAGGTGGTGGGCGCTTTGTTGACAACCGAAGGGACAACATATCTAGCGGTATGAGTAGAAGCAGCAGAGCTTACAGCAGCAGGAGCAGAAGTAGAAGTCGAAGTAGCAGGAGTTATAGTCGAAGCAGGAGTCGCAGCAGGAGCAGGAGTTACAGTCGCAGTTATAGCCCAAGACGGAGCCGTAGCCGAAGCCGAAGCCGTAGCCGTAGTCCGAGTCGTGATAGGTATCGCAGGAGGACTCGGGTAAGCAAATTTGATCAAATGGAACCCGAGATGCCTGCTGGTGTGGAGGCGGCTCCCGAATCTGTCATGCAGAAATCAGCACCAGTTGTTGAAGTAGTTACTGCTCCTGAATCTGCTGTGATGTCTCCCATGTTACCAGGTCCGCACTGATTCTTGGTGTTGTTTCTTCCTGGGGTTTGGCTACAAGGTGGTGATTTCGATTAAAGGGAAAAGGATGTAACAACTCCATTTTGACCATCTCTACGTTTCCTCTAAATATCAAGTTCTTGTCTCATTGTTTCTGAGATTCCTATGATGAGAGGGGTCCCTCACCTATGTTATTCTTTTTGGTTTTCTTCAATTTGGGAGTGTTATCCTCTAAATTATGTAGCAGCATAAGATCCTACACCTTCACTAATTAAATGACCTGGCTTGTTTGAGTATAAATTTATAGAAGATTTTTTAAATTTGGACTGGGCCAGGGTCAGGGCTGGCCCTCCCCTAGCTACGTCCCTGGTCACTAATAGTAAATCTGCTTAATTGTTTAGCTTTGTTGGGCTTATTTTTTTTGTTTTATATTTTTGTATGCCTCATATCATTCGAAAATATCACTAGGTATGAATACCATGCAAAGAAACAAATAAATGAAGAGTTAACAATATTGCAAAATAGGTAATACAAAAATAAATTTGATTTGAAAGAACCATAATTTTTTATATGAATGTTCTTATTTTAGAGGGCCCTTGTCTGATCAGGGCTGGGCCTGACATTTGATAATTGATATTCTGAATTCTGATGCATCTATCATCTATTTGTGCTCCCTAAAAGAGTAGAAAATATGCAATTTACTAAAGATTTTCAACTTTTTGATAATTATTTCAATTCAGATACAAGTATGTTGACCGATACACATCTATTTTTTGTTTTAATAAAAACACCCAAAAATTAAATGATAAAAGTTGTTGAGGTTTACTCCTTCAATTCGTAGGCCCAACATGTAACCTAGGGATGGACTCGGTTCGGGCCAGGCCCGGTTCGGGCCTTGAACCGGCCGGGCCTCGGTTCAAGGTATGGGAGGCCCGGAACTGGCCCGGGTAACCCCCGGGTCCGGGCCGAGTCGGGCCTCGATTATATTTTTTTTTTGGGCTTTTCCTAGTTAACCCACAACCCTCCCCCTCACTCCCAAACCAACCCTAACCACCTCAAATGGCCCAAAATACCCAGCCCAACCCAAAAATTAAAAAAAAATTCAAAAAAAAAAAAAAAAAATGGCCCGGCCCGGGCCCGAACCGGCCGGGCCGGTTCACCTTTTGAAGGGCCCGAGCCCGAACCGAGATCCCACCGGGCCGGGTGGCCCGAACCGGCCAACCAACCGGTTCACTGGGTCGGTCCGGGCCCGCACAGTAGCGGGCCGGTCCGGTTCCGGGTCAGTTGGCCCGGCCCGAGTCCACCCCTAATGTAACCCAAGGATTTCAAATGTATGTTTTGGTGATTAGATGATGAAACAAGTAAGGAAGGTCCAACAAGAAGTCTTTAATATAAAACAATCGTTACAAGGCGTGAGGCCGTTCGTACAATTGTATGCTATGAGTAGGGATGGACCCGGGCCGGTCCGGTTCCGGTCCCAGGCGTTTTTTTTTCATATTGTTGGGCCCGGAACCGGCCCGGGTTGATACCGTGTCCAGGTCGGGCCCGGAACCGGCCCGGCTTGATACCGGGTCGGGCCCGGGTCAAGGTATTTTTTTTTTGCTTTCTAATTAACCCCCGACTCCCCCTTCACCCCACCCCAAACCCCCCCAAAACACCCAGCCCTAACCAAGAAAAACAAATAAAATTGAAAACAAAAAAAGCTCAGGCCCGGCCCGAACCGCCCCGGGCTGGTACAACAAATATAGGCCCCGAGCCCGGCCCGCCCATCCCTCCCCAACCGGGTAAAAGCCCGGGCCCGGTTAGCACCAACCGGGCCGGGTCGGGCCCGCACAGTGGTGGGCCGGACCGGTTCCGGGCCGGGCCGAACCGATTGGGGTCCATCCCTAGCTATGAGCTGATATGAATGCTAGAGTGCTATGCTGCCAACCCTTTACAATAAAATAAATGCTACTCCACCCGTCCCTTAAAACTTTGCCAACTTTCCTTTTTTGGATATCCCACTAATTTTGCCATTTTCCCTTTTAAGTAAAGAATTTGTGGTTCCAGATAATTCTCTCTCCTCTGCATAAACCTCAACCACACAGTTTTTACTTTATTAATCCCTGTGCCGATCAGATTTGGCAAAGTTTTAAGGGACGGAGGTAGTACTATTTATACCGCCAATGGGTAGTTAGACAAGCTGACGTGGCAAGCTGTAGATGGTTAGAGTCCCAACCATCAAATCTCTGCATTAAATGCGCTTCCCGCCAGAATCTTGGTTTCCCACCAAGAAGTGAAGACGAGCGTTCTCTTAGGCTTGCCTTTTGCGTTCCGCCTGGCATAAGTCCCAGACACCGAATGTCCTGCACCATCCTCTGGGCCTTCGTACCAGGCTATCCATAGGATTGGGCCTTGGTGGCCCGTTGGGGACGTGCGTCGCTCTGTTTAGGGGAGATGCACTCCCTGTTGTAGTCTCTGGAGACGTTCGTAGGGTGAGCCTTAAGGGTTTATGGACCAATCTTTGGTGGGCCATTAACTCAACCAAAGTCTTAAAAATATTTATTAAAACTTTTAGTTTGTATTAGAGTATTATTTTCTATCTTTCTTGAGAATCTTTTATCGAAACACTTGAATACTTGCACATTTAAATTCAAAATTAAAGTGTGGTTGTTTGACTTGTTTCTCACTTCAATTTAGAGACGCATTGATGATATTTATATTTTGAGTTGCACTGGTGTATATGACATAAAATATCAATTTATTGTTAATTATCTTGACAATGTGAAGATGATTCGATGTCATGAATGAACATGAGATAATCTATGTATATATTTTATAAAAACTTCATTTATTTTTTAATATGTATAAACACACCCCCATATATATATATATATATATATATATATATATATATATATATATATATATATATATATATATATATATATATATATATATATATATACCCTTATAGCTTTTACTCTCTCCGTCCCGCTAGAAGGTTCTCACTTTCTTTTTTTGGACGTCCCGTTAGAAGGTTCACATTTCCATTTTAGGAAACAATTAACAATCTTAAGTGACAAATTAATCATTAAATATTAAAAATAATACATTTATAACATCACAGTTATCAATACTAACTACATTATAATATATACCTATTAAAATTATTTCTCAAAATATACTCAAAGTACTTTATTTAATTATTGTCTAAATAACCGTGCCATTTTGCTATGGGAACCTTCCAACAGGACGGAGGGAGTAATATTTATAAATATACTCTGTATCTATATCCTAATTTTTTGTTGCTGTATCCCTATACCCGTTTTCGCGTTTCCGCTTTTTTTGTTTCTGAATCCATAGAGGAAAGAGTGAGTACATCAACTTGTATGAGGTGGAATAAAGAGTATACTATGTTGCATTTGACATTCTTAAATACATAAATTTAGGGTTTTAGTGCTAAATGAGTACACTCGTTATATTAACACGTTAATATGGCTGAATTGGCTAACAGAATGCTGAGTAAGAAGGGATAGTCGACCTTGGTTATCGATCTTCGGAAGTCGGCCCGCGGGGGTGCATCGACCAAGGGAAGTCAACATATTTGCATTATGTTAGCCAACTCAGACGTATTAACGTGTAAATGTAACTGGTGTATTCGATTAACACTAAAAACTAAGTTTGTGTGCTTAGAAATATCAGATGCAATATAATATACGAAGTACTATTTATTTCACCTCATAAAAATTGATGTATAACATTGATCATATCTTCGAATTCTAAACATAGTTTTTGACAAATAAAAAAGGATCAATTAAAAAACGATTCCTATTCTAGTTTTAATTTTATAAAACGAGGAGAATCATTTCCAAGCATCATACTACATTCATTTCAAAATCAATGACACAATTTGATTCCATTACAACTATGGAATTATAAGCAAAGTTCTCACCAAGCTCACAAAGATTAAGGAAAATTTTTTACTGAGAGATAAATTTTACTGTAGAGTACATTGTTTTGACATTGTTTGACATTGTTTTGCACTCTTTGTATTCCATTCATATAGATTTGTTTACCAAATGGGAAGTGTGACATTCATTTTGAAAGATCTTGCAAAGAAAGTGTGACATTTGATTTTTAAAAGGAGGGAGCGTATACTTCCTCCATACGGATTATAAGAGATTATTCCTTCCCTCGGATCCAACGGAAGAACGAAAGCTCAAAGTGGTGCTGCTCTTTCCTTAAAAACAAGGGAGATTTACCTTAATAGGTGCAAAACATGACATTTTTCTCAAAATAGGAGCACCTACTTTAGACATCCTTAAATAGGAGTTTTTATTTGTTATTGGATCAAAATACCCCTTATAGCCTTTACCATTGGTGCCCCATGACTGTCGGACCGCCACATGCCGTCTAACGCCGGACCTCCGGCCACCGCTGCCGGAGACCACAAGAAAATTTCAGATTTTTTTTGGTAGGCTGCCGGAGTTTGCCGCTATCGCCGAGCTACCGCATCACCGGACTACACTGCTACCAACAGACTGCCTTGGTTAATTAATTGAGTTAATGAATTGACGGAATTTGCCACCGCTGCTGGAATCTGCCGCCGACCGCTGCCACAGGCTGTCGTCACCACGGACTACCCCGCCACGGACGAACTGTCTTTTGGTCGTGCAAGGAAACTGGGGGGTAATTATTTAGATCAATTACTTAATTAAATAAAATTAGAGGGTGAAAAAGGTAAGATCAATCTTATTTAGGAAAAAACATACATGTGGTAGTATTTTGAAAAAAAACTTGACTTTTGGTCCTAGTGATGGACTAAACCGGGCCGGGCCGGCCCGAAACCGGCCTGGCCTGGCCCGGAACCGGCCCAGCCTGCAACCAGCCCGGCCCAGCCCGCAACCGGCCCGCCCGTTACTGTTTGGGTCCGGACCGGACCGGGACCGGTTGGCCGGTTCCAGGCTTTTAGCCCGTTTGGGCGGGCCGAGTTCAGGCATTTCTTTTGAAAGATCCCCAAGTCTCATCTTATTTTGCAGAACACTTACGCTTTTTGACCGGGTCTCCCATTCTCTTTTTCGCAAGGTAAGAGGTCTAGCTATATTACTTTTTTCAATTTTCAGATTTTCACTAGACATTACCCCATTCTAATCTCGGCCTCACCAATGAAAATTAGCAATTAAAGTTCAATTAATCAACGTGAATCCATGCCTACAATGCAATCCTCGAAAATATCAAATTTCTAAAAAGTGACTGCTCTTACCCCATTTGGAGCATAGGAACAATGCCAAAAATTGGTGATGGATAGTCTACCCGGGGGTATATATCCGAAGGGTTATTACGGGGAATAACTTAGAGAAATGTCAGAGCAAGTAAGTAAATGTAGAGAGAGAGTGTATTCAGTATGAATGCCGTTTTCAGCGTGGTTAC